TCAGATTTCGGCTGGTTGTTTGGGTTTTGAACAAACTAGAGACCTGGTGCAGTGATCCAGGTCCTTCTAGTTGTGGACCGATGCTCGGTTCTGATGGTTCTGAATGACAGCTGCCGGCAGCAGCTGAAGTTTATCAGCTAAAGTTTGGTCTGATCTTCAGYCTCGGTCCGGTTCCAGCAGGATCTCATCTTTTAGCTCAGAGCTGTTTCCTCTCTGGTCTAACAGAAACTGATTTCCTCCTTTTGGTTCTGGGTGAGCGGTTCTTTGGATTCTTGTTCAAATGGACCAAGTGTTTCTTCTAATGGTTTCCAGGGTTCTGATGGGATCATTGGTTTAAGACTGGGGGTCCAGTCCTGGTCCTGGGGGTCCAGTCCTGGTCCTGTAGGTCCATTCCTGGTCCTGAGGGTCCAGTCCTGGTCCTGGGGGTCCAGTCCTGGTCCTGGGGGTCCAGTCCTGGTCCTGGAGGTCCACTATCCTGCAGGATTTAGAGGCTTCTCAGCTCCAACACACCTGATCTGAATGATCTCTGCAGAACCTGAAGAGGTCTCTCAGTCCCTGCGTCAGGTGTTGGACTTGCAGGATAGTGGTCCAGCAGGATCAGGACCAGGACCAGGACTGGACACCTGTGGTTTAAGGTGCTGTTTGTGTGCATGTGTGGATCAGCTGGAAGCTAATGTGTCATTATCAGCATTAGCAGGAGGAGCTAACAGTGGCTGTTTGCTGCTCATGCTAACTGTTAGCTTCTTATAGCATTTGTAGTGGCTAAATATTTAGCTCTGATAATAAATATGTTTAAATGCAGTAAAGTACAGTCAAAAACAGATACAAGTATCTACAAATAAAACATAAAAATAATTYGTTTAGAATAAATTTACTTGTTAGCATAGACGCCCTGAAGCTAAGCTATGCTAGCTTAGCTTAACTGCTTTGAAAGTATAAATTCAAAAATGTTTTTATCTGAAACTTTTCGTGAAACTTTTGAAACTTCAGGTAAATTTGAATCAGAATCTGAATTTAGATTTATTTATTTTTTAACCGTAAAATAAAAACAAGTATTTTAATTTAATTTTCACAGTTTAAAACGTGTTAATAACAGTAAAGTTTACCGTCTGGTCTTTTTTCTGCAGCTTTGATGTTTTTGCTGATGTGTGGCGTTAATATTCGGCTGTTTGTCTCTGATTCCTTCAGCTACGATGCTTCACGCTTCAAGTCAGTGTCCAGTAAGGGTCTGGGGAAGACCCCCGGTGACATGCAGCAGTATGTGTTCATCTACAGGTGAGACCTGCAGGTGTTGCTGTAGATGTTCAGGTGTTCCTCCTCTGAACGGTTGTTTGTGGTGGTCCTGAGCAGGACGCGCTCCTTCAACCTGACGGGTCAGCATCAGTACGAGGGCCGGCCCTTCCTCAGACCGCCGTTCGTCGTGCGCTTTCAGTCCAGCAAAGCTCGTGAGTCGGATTTAAACACCTGCTCCTCCTGCTCCTCCTGCTCCTCAGCTTCACCTCCTCTGTTCTCCTTCAGACATCAAGGAGTTCATCCTGGTCCCGCTGCACAGCGACCAGGATCAGGCCGTGCAGGAGATCGACTGGCTCTACGACGTCTTTGAGGACGTCAGCGTCAGGTGGAACAACACGGTGAGGAGCTGAACCACCTAAATAAGATAAAACACGAGTTTTTACATAAAAAATAAATATTTAACTTTCTCTGCTGCAGTTCCCCAACAGGAAGAACTACAACTGTTTTTATTGTTGTTTATGTCTCTAAACAGAGTGGGACAATAAGAGGAGACCTCAGTCCCACAGGAGCAGCAACTTTATTACTTTGTTTGAACCTTTGCTACGTAACAAATAAAACCAGCTGCGTTCTCTAACCTTATAACATTTTAAACGTTAATCTTTGCTTTTAGTTAGGGATTAGTCAGCAGTTCCTGTTTAACTGAGCTGAAAAGATGTCGTTTATTCTGTTTAATGATTTATAATCAGTTTGTTGTGACTCATAACCAACCCAACAAAGAAGCTTAAAGTACCTGTGGCGTCAGGTTTTTCTAATAAACATGAATGCATTTTGGGGAAAATAACATTAATAACGTTGCAGAAAGAAGTTCACATGGCTGAAATGAACAGTTCAGGTATTTGCATGTGAAGAAACAGGAAGTGATGTCACATGRATGTAAACAGAGCGATGCTATGATGACCAACAACCCCGACTGCAGACAACAGTCTGAAGTCACAATCAGAGAGATGAAGAAGAGTCAGAGTTAACAAAGACCAGAGAGGTCCCCTTTGATGTCACTTCCTGTTTCACTTCCTGTTTCACTTCCTGTTTCACTTCGGCCCTTTACAGAACATTAATCTGATCAATTATAATCACGCAGGTGATTGTTGCTCAGCAGACATTAAATATTATTTACCTGACATCCTAATGTTTAGTATTAAAAGCTTCAGAGTAAAGCTGGACTTTAACTTGAAGCAGCTTTGTTTCATTTCCTGTCAGTCACAGTGGAGGAGTGGCTTCACTGAAGGAGGCGGAGCCTAACACAGGTGTTAAACATCTGAGACTTCAACAGGAACAGCCGTCCTCTGCCTGTACAGATCACCAGATATATTATTATTAAACTATCAGGAAGCTGAGCTCAGGTGGAAGCTGAAGCTCCACCCACACCTGAACTCAGTTTAGCTCCGCCCACACCCGAGCTCTGTTCCCTGCTCAAATCAGAGGAAATAAGCTTCAGCATCTGTCTGTCTGTCTGTCTATCGCTGTGGTTTGACCAGGTGTGTGTGTGTGTGTGTGTGTGTGTGTGTGTGTGTGTGTGTGTGTGTGTGTGTGTGTGTGTGTGT